AAACATCTGTATATCTATGACATGATGTATAATGAATATAGACAATTTAAACATAATCAGTCAAAGCACGTCAGAGATTTGGCTCTAGTAAATCATTCATTAATCAAATGGCCACCAGTGAGTCATTTCTTATCCGATCTCAAAAACAAAATGACGTACATCAGAGACCCACAATTTCTAAGGTATATACCATGTTTGAACAAAATCCATCCATGTCACAGATCTTAAAAATGCTATATGTGATTGTTATATATTTTAGGTATTACAAAAACATTCATGATAATACAAAAATATTTGTGGAAAATTGTTGTGAACTTTATAATTCGTTGGTGTTCTTTCAGTTGCATAATCACAAAATAGCTTAAATACAACTTCCTTTTCAAAAAAACTAAATCTTCATCATAGTCTAAATATCTTACAAAATGGTGAATAAAATGTCTTCAATAGATTTGACAAATCTCTGGTGTGAATATGGCAATCATGTTAACATATGTCTGTATCAGGTTGGAAATCAGTGTGGGCAGAGTAAACGTTTGAATTTTATTGTCAAAATTTGATAGTAAAAAAATGGCTGAAAAATCAAAAGCTTTAAATTGATGTGCATAAGTAAAACACTTAATCACACAAGGCAAAACTTGGTTTGTAAATGTACATCATTGTCACTCAGCTCTCTGAAACGAATTCGATGCTGCAAGTCCGAGAGGCAGATGTGAGAGTTTATAATTGAACTTTTTATTTGCTATTATAAATTACATAAACTGAATATTTTGATCGAATTGTGTGAAAGAAAAGAAAGTTGTTTATTGTTTCTACAGTCAGATATACATTTTGTTTCTACATAAGAGGAAATATCGATAAGCAATATTGAGAAGTCTTGACAGAGTCACTATTTGACCAATATGCCTGCTCCACAAAATGTTTCAGAGAAGAATTTGGTACGAGAACATTCAATCAACCTCTCCACCATATATTGTATGCACACAAATTTGCTTTGTATTTTAGTGGCGTTGGTTTGTACAACTTCTCATTGTACATAAAATGTTATGTAGCAATTTCCACTGAAAGTCTTAGTCCTATATAAATTGCAAGTGAAAATGTTCTGTTATATATATCCAATATATTTCAGAGCATAGGAGTATACAGTACTTGATTAGGATTCTCATTAGATATGTATTTACAACTGTTACAACAGCGACATGATTTATTGGAAGATTTTAATACGAATGGTCAAAATGTTGGGGTTCTTCTTTGCATGAAAAGTTTTCTAGGAAAACAACACCAAGAATTACAATTTTTTACACTTTCAAGTGGTGATTAACTAAATTATATACAACTTAAATCGAATCATTTTGATGTTTACTCAAAAAAAATACTCTGCACTTCACAGGAACTACAAACGTCTGCCAAAATAATTATGGTGCTTTTTCGAAAGAAAATTAATTTTCATTTATGCACTGTAATAAGTTGATTGAATGAGATTACACTTCAGAACGTATCAACCATGGCTGTATAATCTGAATTCTTCCACAGCATCATGACTCCTCTCCTCAACAATGAAAACAGCATGTACAATAAACAATTGTCTCTGCTCCTTGTCGCTTAAATGCTCATCATATCCGTTACGCGTGACAGTTAACTGTTTTTTATCATTCATTATTTCCCATCTATATCTATATTTCTCCTCTCTATGAATAATTAATAAATGTTTTTGACTGGTTATTTGACTATATATACATTCACACTGATGACAGTAAAACTGACTTACTGAATTAGGTATTACAGTAACATTTGGATTATTTGAATCTACCGGTATAAAAGTAAAATTTCCAAGTTTAGTTTGATGTTCAACAAGATGTCTCTTTTTTATGTTATTGTATAAAAAGCAGTTCTCTTGGGAAGACTTTTTATTGGCATGTCTTCGCATATGCTGTTTGAGAGTACATGCCTGAGTGAAACTCTTCTGACATTGCTGACAATGATAAGGCTTCTTATTGGAATGTGTTCGCATATGCACTTTGAGATTACCTGACCAATTAAAACTCTTCTCACATTGCTCACAGTGATAATGCTTCTCATTGTTATGTGTTCGAATATGCTGTTTGAGAGTACTTGAATGAGTGAAACTCTTCTGACATTGCTGACAATAGTAAGGCTTCTCATTGGAATGTGTTCGCATATGCACTTTGAGATTACCTGACCAATTGAAACTCTTCTCACATTGCTGACAGTGATAAGGCTTCTCATTGGTATGTGTATGCATATGCTGTTTGAGATTACTTGCCTTGGTGAAACTCTTCTCACATTGCTGACAGTGATAAGGCTTCTCATTGGTATGCGTTCGAATATGCTGTTTGAGAGTACTTGAATGAGTGAAACTCTGCTCACATTGCTGACAGTGATAAGGCTTCTCATTGGTATGTGTTCGCATATGCACTTTGAGATTACTTGCCTGGGTGAAACTCTTCTCACATTGCTGACAGTGATAAGGCTTCTCATTGGAATGTGTTCGAATATGCTGTTTGAGAGTACTTGAGTGAGTAAAACACTTCTGACATTGCTGACAATGGTAAGGCTTCTCATTGGAATGTGTTCGCATATGCTGTTTGAGATGACTTGACTGGGTGAAACTCTTCTCACATTGCTGACAGTGATAAGGCTTCTCATTGGTGTGTGTTCGCATATGCAGTTTGAGAGTACATGACTGGGTGAAACTCTTCTCACATTCCTGACAGTGATAAGGCTTCTTATTGGTATGCGTTCGAATATGCTGTTTGAGAGTACTTGAATGAGTGAAACTCTTCTCACATTGCTGACAGTGATAAGGCTTCTCATTGGAATGTGTTCGAATATGCTGTTTGAGAGTACTTGAGTGAGTAAAACTCTTCTGACATTGCTGACAATGGTAAGGCTTCTCATTGGTATGTGTATGCATATGCTGTTTGAGATTACTTGCCTTGGTGAAACTCTTCTCACATTCCTGACAGTGATAAGGCTTCTCATTGGTATGCGTTCGAATATGCTGTTTGAGAGTACTTGAATGAGTGAAACTCTTCTCACATTGCTGACAGTGATAAGGCTTCTCATTGGTATGTGTTCGCATATGCACTTTGAGATGACTTGACTGGGTGAAACTCTTCTCACATTGCTGACAGTGATAAGGCTTCTCATTGGTGTGTGTTCGCATATGCAGTTTGAGAGTACATGACTGGGTGAAACTCTTCTCACATTCCTGACAGTGATAAGGCTTCTTATTGGTATGCGTTCGAATATGCTGTTTGAGAGTACTTGAATGAGTGAAACTCTTCTCACATTGCTGACAGTGATAAGGCTTCTCATTGGTATGTGTTCGCATATGCACTTTGAGATTACTTGACTGGGTGAAACTCTTCTCACATTGCTGACAATGATATACCTTCTCATTAGTATGTGTTTGCATATGCTGTTTGAGATTACCTGAGGTGATAAAATGCTTCTTGCATTGCTTACAGCAATGTGGCTTCTCATTGGTATGTGTTTGCATATGCTGTTTAGGAGTACTTGACTGGATACAACTCTTCTCACATTGGTCACACTGATATAATTCCATATTCATGAAATTGTCTTAAAAGGGTTGGAGCAAGGCACTTCTCATCGTGTTCACAGCCCATATTATATAAATATTTACCATTTTCACTACTTTACAGAATAACACACTTCCTAATTTTTGTATGTTCCAGTTCTGTTGTTGCTTAAGAATACTGCAACTGTAAAAAATATAAATAGACATTTTGAAAGCAAGGTGAATGTGACCAATAAACTTTTTTTGACCTGTGACTGAAGAGACAAACAATCATACTTCATATACAGTCTGGAGATAACTAGCCCAGAAGTGTTGTTGCTTGGCATACGACTCTATGCTCTAGCAGGTTTGATATATAGGCTCGCCATTCAGAAAAAGATTGTGGCCATTTGATTGACACTCAATTACTTAACAATTAAACCAATCAAAATGCTTGCACAAAACTAAGAAAACAAAATCGTATCAGACGACTGTTTGAACAGTGATCATGTCAGTAATTTTATTGGAATTCAACTCGCTCCTAAGATTTCAACTAATCCCAAGAGGTTTTTAGTTATCAGTGATAAACAGTTATTGCTT